TTCTTCTTCTTGTTTACTACTGGTGGTTGGCTTTGGTCGCAGTACCGCCACCTTCTGCTCTGGAGTGTAAACGCTTCGCCTATGAGAAAAAGGAGCAGCGCATGAACCGAACGCAACACACGCGAATCGAACCGGAACAGTCGAACCGAACGGTTCAGACGGTTTCATAAGCCGTTCCATCCCTCATATATATATATATATATATATATATATATATATGAATCATTGGTACTTGTTGATGGCATTACATTTATTTATAACAGCATTAAAAAGCATTAAATTAAAGTTACTCATTCCTGTATAAATCCTGATATTTTAGACAGATCATAATCCCGATGAGAAAAAATGTTTGGAGGTGGAATTTCATGCTTGAATACAAAACAATTTTTCCAACTCATAAAGTAAAAAAGCCAAGCTTCTGTCTAGCTTGAGCAGATAAAAAAACCAGAGCATCCAGAGCGTTGAAGTGTCAAAACACCTTGACCAGCATTGGACCAGGAGCCCAAATTTTGGCGTTTAAGCGTCTTTAACACGCAAAACTCTTTTTGGCGTGAACGCAGCTTTAGAGCTGTTATCATAACGCGCTCATGTTATTACTGAAGGTTATCATTGGGTCAGAGTTCTGAGACGCTGATGATAGATGAGGAGGCCTGGCCCTCCGTATCCGCTCTCACCGTCTCCTTTGTCTTGGCAGGTCTTTAATGGCCTCCACACACGTCAACCACAACATCTACATCACGGAGGTGAAGACGGGAAAGTGCCTACATTCCTTGGTGGGCCACCGGAGGACCCCATGGTGCGTGACCTTTCACCCCACCATTCCTGGCTTGGTGGCCTCTGGGTGCCTTGACGGGGAAGTCCGCATATGGGACCTGCATGTGAGTATCAACCAACCACCGCCTGCGATGAACGGAGCGGGTCGACGCCGATAACTAGGAGGAGGCTGGGCGGAATCCCAGAGATCTGAATCAGTCCGGATCGTTCCACTGAATCACTTCTCCGTCCGTCCGTCAGTCTGATGTCATATTGAGGTCCAACCAGTTTGTTTGCAGAAAAGCGGAAAACTGGATGTTAGATGTTCAGCATGACTTGAAGAAATCTTCACCCAAATTAAAACATTCTGTAAGTTTGTTTATGGAAATAAGGCAAAAAGAAAAAAAGCAAAGGAGAACATTAGTCAAGCTTTAGGGCGTTGATCCGACTTCAGGAAGCAAAGCAGCTGAGAAGCCATGAGGAGGCGGCTGTTTGCTGATTCTAAAACTACTTTATTAAAACTTGTTGAAATCATGATGCATGAGCTGTCTTACTGCTCTGGCAGATTATTTATGTAGAGTAGAGAATAATCTAACAGAATCTGCTCTTGCTGCTTGTGTCGATCTAAAAACAACATCAGAAAGACTTTTTGTATAGATCTGATAGTGAGACGGTAGCAGACCTGGCAACCGGATTGAAAGCAAGCGAGCTCGCCACTTACGGCTGTTTTATACTTCGAAACTAGGTCGTCTGCGTGTGTGTCGCAGTGAACGCAGAGACGTCCCCGCCCCCTCCGCAGACATTCTGCTGCACCTCTCCAAAATTGTAGGTGATCACAGACAGGAGGCCTCTGATTGGTCAAATCTACATCCGCTCTACACTATCCGTATTTCCTGTTTGGTACCTTATCGCTTGTTTTGTTGGTATGACCGCCATTGCGGAAAATGACTCGTCACCAGCTAGAAGAGTGAGGTGCGAGAGAACGCTGGGACCATTTTTCCACCTGGATCCCCGCTCTTTTTTGCCCTCAGGATTGCAAATGAAGCGCGCATGCGCCGGGATTGACGGCGCAAATTGATCACAATAATTAAAACAGCCTGCGCTTTGTAAAGCGAAAAAAGTCGTAACATGCAACTTTTGTAAAAACAAATGAACATGGCACTGAAGCACCACTGTTATGACGCAGCAACTGAAAAGGAAACACGTTGGAGCCTTCAATGGCAGTAAAGAGAGCTGATCAGCAGGATGAATGACCATGTTTGTTT